TATTTTAGCTGGAATTAGCTTTCGCTGAAAAGACATTTTGGCTGTTTTGTATGAAGTTTATTTTCACTGATGTAAAGTGTAAATTGTGAGTGAAATAAAGTATTTTACAGTGGTTAGAACGCAGATTACCAAATATTGCTAACCATATACCATATTTATCAGTCCTTGCAGCTTCTATCTATTTACAACTTTATTACTATATTACAATGGTAGAGACTTTATGCTTGTAGAAAAATTTATATTGAAACACTGCAGTACTGTAATGAAAAGCTAGTTAACATGTGCCAAGTCTCATGCCAAGCTAAATGTGTTGTACGCTCTGACTGTCATTAACGTATTTTTCAAGTCAGGCATGTTTATAAGATATACATAGAATACAGACGCCACAATGTAGCAATAAAATTTTGAGAATGCTGCATGAACCATGTTTGTTACATAATGGTGTGTTTTATTTCTTACCTCAGGAGGTCCATTAAACGAATAGGCATAGAGAATTGGCTGCACCATGATGAGTGATTGCGTAAGATCCTCCCTCATCAACATGTGACGATAATAGCATGTCTCATCGGGACTATTATTAAAAACTTGAAGGAACTGAGAACGCCGCAGGTGAAACATGAACTGAAAAATAAATTAACAGAAAAAAAGTGATACTGACTGATACTAAAGATTACTGCAGAAAGGTGATTTTATTTTGTAGAGCAAACGTAACAAGGTAACAAGGGTCGCAGTGAAATACAAGAAGAGACATGTGTGACTTGGTGGGCCGAGATCAGTTAGGCCGATTTACCATTCTAGCATGTCTCAGCAGTTTGAGATTGAAGTATGTGTAACCGTCTGGCCAATTTAGAATGACAGTAACAAATCTCAGAAGTACTATTATAAAATAACAAGACAGAAATGACATAACATATATGGACATCTAATAAGGAAAATCTGTGTCATTAAAGATAAGATGAAATAAAGAGATTACAAAGCAGAGTTATATTTCAATTACACTAGGCTGAAAGGCAGTCAAGTAAAAACATCACATCCAAAAATATTCCTTCAAGAAAAGAAATGTGCTGGAAAAAATCTGGGTTGAATGAGATCGAATTATATTAATTTACCAGTATTTAAATAATTCATCAGCACATTCAAGGCCAATCCCACTGATGTATGGGTTTTGTTATCCAGGCGGCTTATTATCCATCTGATCCTATGCTTAGTGGCACATTAGCTGTATGTAGGAGAGATTAAGCTGCCTAGATTCAATGAAAAATCTTGGGGGGAAAACTGATGGGGATATACAAGCATTGGCAGTACACAGTTATCTCACCTGTGGGTACAAAGAAAAAGTGTCTGAGAACCTAAACGAGTTAGGATCGTCTTTGTGATAGTCTCCAAACTTTTGACACAATCTTATTAACATTCTGTCCAGCCATCTTAAAACATCTGATCCTTCCTCATTCTCTGCTCTGTGTACTGCAATTCTAGCCATTAGGACTGCAGCTGCTTCCTGGTCAAAACCAGCGGCAATGTGTTGAATGTTTGTAGCAGCATCAGCCCAGCTAAATTACAGAGACACAATGGATGAGAAAACATGTTCATGATTTGGCAAAAATGAGTAACTTTAAGGCAAATAAAAAAAACACCAAATTTTTGCTTCTTATTCTGGGGAAAATTGAAAAATAATGCACTGACTTGGTTTTAATTTTAATTTTTTAAACAAGATATATGCTCAACGTTTACCATTTATCAAATAATGTTTTTGAACATGACATTTGAAGTTTATTTGGATCAACAAAACGAAACATGTGGTACACTTTACCGATAAGCAAAATGTAAAAATAAATGTCTGAGGTACTGGTTTCAAACAAGATGACAAGAAGCAAAACTTTGTGGTCGAAGTTATTTTAATAGAGTACCGCAGGATCTCAATCTGATAAAAGGCAGGATGCAGCATGCTGCATACAAAAATGTAGTAACTTGATAGAAGGACAAAAAAAAATCAGATTTTCATCATCAAATATTCTATTTATCTTATCAGAACTCACATTTGTAGATTTCTAAAAAAAAAATATACTATCATGTACATTTTTCTAATTCTCAAATTGATTTTCACAATAGAGCTAAATATAAACAAATAAGTTATCTACTTATGCCTGCAGTTATGCCGCTGTATTATCAATAAACACAAAGACGTACAATCTAAAAATGCGATCTAAAAATACAGAATGATAATATCGATATGCAATATCAGTTTGTATGAATGGCATGATGAAGTTCAATTCAAGTGTATGGCGAATCCTAAAGTATTTCCAGTAATACCATATGTCACAAAGCTCTAGATATGATTTCAGAACACAACCTCATTTAAAAAATTCTAGCAACAAGTTATCATTTACAAGTTGTTTTAACAAGTTATCAATATTTTTTGATTGATATCAAATTTTATTATCACTTAATTAAATATTTGTATTAAAGTCAAACAAAGTTTGTGAATTATCAATCCATATTATGAATATTCATTCACACACTATGCAACAATGATTTCATTTTCAGCAATGTTAATTCAATTCAAAAGTACCCCCTAAGTTAGTTGTATTTAGTATTCTTGCCTGGGTCACAGTTACTATCGTAACCATGCAAGCACAGACTTGTAGTTGGACTAACTGCATATTAATATAGTGCTATCAAATTTAAAGCATTTTTCAGTTCATCTGTGTTATTAAAATGTAGATTTTGAGCTAGTTTTGTATTTCGTTCAATGGTGATCAAACAGTATACGATAGATTTTTCCTCATTCCTTCAAGTATCACTAGATCATAATAAAAGTGAAGTCTCCCAGAAAGTATCAATATGTCTATTTGAGCTGAACAGAAGAGGCCTCCATTATTCACTAGACTGAAAGGCTAGTGACAGTGAAATGTACTTGCACTGACAGAATTATATGAGAGCAGCATCCATCCATGAACCATTTTGTCTCTGTAACTCTGCGTACAGTAATTACTGCTGTTGGTAATACTTACTTCCTTGCCAGTGTGGTGACTCTTACTCGGCGTTGTCCACTGGAGTGTTGATACTGAGTAATGAACTGAACGCATCCTCTACCGCCCTGGGGAATAGGAGCAGAGTGCTGAAAAAATGAAGATCAACATGAATATTGTAAAATAGTCCATCATTCATTAATAAAGGTTCAAGAAACCATTATTACACCAGACCAAATGTCTATACATTATTCATTGCAAGTTTTTAATAATTTAAAGTGTCACGCAAGTATTTTCAAAAGCATGTTGATAAGATTAATATCATGAATAGACCACCGCATGCTAAACACACTACAACATTGTCATTTATCAGCCACATTTAATCCGTACACTGGTCATTATAGTGACAATAAAGACAACCTTTTAGTAGCATCACTTCCATTATTAACTACAGTAATTACAGTACAATTTCATTATCAAACTAAGAAACATGTACTGCAGCCAACTCTACAATTGACTGACAATCAGTAGAATGTGTTTTCCCCGTACTCTTCAGTTGTCAGCATTGAGGAATGTTAAAATAAACACAGTCAAGAGACATGTGAATGGCAATCACTGCAAAATACCAATATGATATTGATGATAGACAGTAATATTTTATGCTTATTGGTGATCTGGCTTTTTCATTCAAATAGTGCTGCTATCTATGCCATCATATGTTAGAATGTTAGTGAAACCATCCATGCAAGTCAATTGTGGTGATACATCACATACACACCATCTTGTTTTATGAGGGCAACATATATGCCAGGAGTTGCAAGATACAACTTAATGTAGCGACCTACAAGATAACGTAATTTCACCCAATCCCCTTGGCGTCCACGATATCAAATCACAGCCTGTTTGAATTTTGCCTCAAAGAGATAAAGATTTGCTGAAGATAACGAGTACAAGATATTTCTTTGCTATGGTTACTATCAACTTTAATCAGGACATGAGATTAATTCAGAAGTACTGCAAAAAGTAAAATGTTGTGATCTAAGGATGTGAGTTGTCATACAGTGTTGGTACAACATTACTCTGTAGATATCGGTAATAGAATTGTACAACGTCTGAGGGTCAAAGGCTGGTACAGGAAAATAATAAGTATGCAATAACCCGCAAACAATGCTGCAGCAAAAGGTAAAGTAAATAAATTTTAAATTGTTTTATTATCCATATTATCAATATAAAAAAAAAAACTAACCTCGAAAATAACAATTTTTATACTAAACTGACAGAGTGCTTCAAATCGTTTAGTTACACAAACGAGTGATACATTTATTATTACTTTAACATTTTTTACTGATATCAATAATCTATGGTCTCTGCAGATAATAGATGCTTCAAAGATGAAGTGTGACATGCATAGAACTTTAATCAGATTGATTTGATAATCAGGTTGAGATATCTATTAGCCATGTCACTAAGACTGAAATTTACAAAAAACTTCATTGTTTGGGTCAACACTGAAGAATTATAATAACGATCATAACTTGGATTCTTTATGCAAATAAGATGTACATCATGCAAATAATGCCAATTTGTGAAAGAACTAGGAATGGATAACTCCTCCCACTCACTGACACACTTACCCACTCAGTCAGTCAGTCAGTCAGTCAGTCAGTCCATCAGTCACAATCTTGTAAGGTGATTGTGAGGCCAACATTACGAAAGGCTTGCATCATTGGATTAGTTGTCAAAGTAATAGATTGTACACTCCAGTGGAATGGATGAAACTGATAATGGAAGACTGTTTTACATCTGTGTACTGTGTTTAACACTGCTGCTGTCCATACTGGGAAACCTTCTTGTGCTCACTGTGACTGCATGCAGTCGGAAACTACACACTGTCACCACTGTGTTTATAATCAACTTAGCTATAGGAGATCTGGGAATCACTACCTTTGTATTGCCGTTCTCAATTCACCTGAAGATAGCCAGAGTCTGGATTTTTGGACATGCCTGGTGCCAAATAGTAGCATGCCTATCTATTCTATTTTATACTATCTCCATGTCATCTTTAGCATTAGTGAGCGTGGAGCGATTTATTGCTATTAATCTTCCGCTTCAATATACACAGAAAATGAAATGTTGTACAGTACGGTGGATGATTGCAATCGCTTGGATATACGCAATTGTAAGAGCAGCCTGTCCGCTTGTTAACTTTGGAGAGTACTACTTGTCTCAAGGGAAGGGTATGTGTGCACCAAATTACCCACATCATACAGCATACACAGTTGTGGTACTAGTGATTGGATTACTCATACCTTCAACAATTATGTGTTATTCATATGCTAATATTACAAAAGAAGCGAGGAAACATGCAACGAGGGGCAAGATCGTTTGTGATGAGAACAATTGTACATATGTTCCAAACCGCACTAGAGAGAACCGAGCTGCTAAGATTCTAGCGGTGGTAACAGGTGGGTGGACTTTATTCTCAACATTAAAAGAAGGGGATAAATGTGATGGTGTCCACAGTGCTCACAATCTTAGAATTTTAGAATTTGGCATCATCCTTTCAATGCACCGTTTATGTCTGGAGCAGATGCAATGCAATCCCAGGGGTTGACATCCTTCCCTTTAATTAATATTCTTGAAGAAAAGAAAAGATACTAACTGAAATAATTGCTTTGAATGGGTGAAAGACAATAATAAACCGTAAATTATCTCATTTATTAATTGACATTAACGATAATACCGCTCAAGATTAAGTTACAGGGCAAATCACAATAAAAGAACATTACTCAGTGTGAGCAACATACAGAGCATACAGAGCACACAGATGATGCTTGCTTCCTTTCATTCATTCATTGCATTTTTTTGAGTGGCTGTGTGTTAATCCAAGGCAACCCTTTCAAAATGATTTCAATGCTCCAAGTTTTAAATGCATGTAGGCCTTTATTCTATTTTTTGTTCCCAATTTGCCTTCATGAAAGGTCAAATTATACAATGTTTAGTAAAGTCAATCATAAAGTAAGTCAAAATCTTAATATTATCACCGTAATTGCTATATTAGAGGTTTAATAGAAGTGCATATAAATTAATATAGCATAACTGACACAACCTTGCATGGTAAGAATCCAGACATTATTAACGGATTATAGAAAATGACACAATGAAACAAAGTTTGGCAGTATGTGATATGAATTTTCTAATTTTTTTTATCATATTGTAGAGATACGCACAATAGAATGTACTGTTCCCTTCACAAACTAGTGAGTTTAAAACCCAGTGAATATCCCATAACATCAAATATGCTACCGGTAAAAATAAATGCAGTGAGCATTTTGTCTTCTACTACAGTTTCAGTATTGTGTTCTAAACAGGTAATGATTTTTAAGATCGTTCAAATGATGGTATTGTTTAAGATTGCTATCCCTCTCAGTTCAAATTTCATCTGCAGTTACAAAATAAACAACAATTACAACAATATTCGTAATGTTAATAAATATGAGTGTACTGGCAAGGCTTGAATCTCAATTTTTGAAGGTCAATAATTGTAAAAATGATTTAGACTAATTGAAATTATGAAAAAAAAAAATACTAAAGGATGTTAGCAAACCAATCAGAATTTCTTTTTTTTTTTATAGGGCTATCATAGAGAGGGCACTCATGCATATGAACACAATCATCAAGCAAAATGAACACAACATCAAGTGAAAAACATTATATAAAGCTTGATGCATTATGGGTAATTTGAAATGACTTGCTCCCAAAGCAAGTCATGCAGGGATGTTACAATGGTGTGAAACTATTTTTACTGCTTATGTTTTGCAATAAGTAAATTTCATCACCAAAGTACTTCACACTGTCTAGCATGTATTCAGAAAATGGCATATTACTCTGAATAGTAATATCAAAAGTGTTGTGATTCTAGTTTTGGTGTTAGCATTTTCTGAATATGTGTTAAACATAGTGTGGGGGTACTTTGGTACCGGGGTAATTACATTTACTTGCATCCTTTGATTTGTGAAACATAAGCAGTAGAAAAAGCCACTCATCATTTCGGATTTGCTGCATGACTTGCTTGAGCGGCAGCCATTTTATATTATCTATAATGCTTCACATTTTTTCTTCTCCACAATAGTGTTTTTCACTTGAGTATGTGTTCATTTTTCACCAAAAAATAGTGTTTTAAATTCTCAAATCTAAATTCATTTTGCTTGATGATTGTGTTCATATGCTCAAGTGCCCTCTCTATGACACCCCTGTTTTACATTTCAACTTTGCTGACATAATTATCTGCCAATTTATTTATTCGTTGCAACCATTTTGCATCAGGGGCTCAACAATAGTAGTAGACATGCAGGAATTAATCAATTAGGAGCAGCAAAGCACAGGCCAATAAAACTTGTCAGTCTCCTAGTTTCCTGCATAGTTACGAAACCTAAATCTACCCGAGGACAGGATTAATTTTCTCTTATAAGGAGTCTGTTCTACCAATCAATCCTATGTCACCCTTTTCTTATTTTTGACCAATCACAGATCAGAATATTTGTTCAACTCATTTTGTTTACATTGACATGAGTGGTTCCTACGGCGGTTTCAACAGTTTGGCTTGCGTTCAGTATCTAACATTTAGTTCACTTTATAGTGTAATAAAACCAAATCATGTTTTTCCACATAAAACTACTCAGTCTCCTCGTTTTCTGCATAGTTACAACAATTGGGTCTACCCTACAAGCTACAAGCTGTTTATTACTTGACTCTCCCACAAGGGCATCAAGGAATTTAGACTGAGCACTGAGACAATTGGTCACCATGAATTTCAAGCGCCATACTTCTAAGCTCAGCTGGTTGTCCATGTTTTTTTCCATTATTGAAGTAAGCTGCTTGTCTGAGTTTCCTTCAATTTTACCAGTCAGCCTCCCTAGATTAAATGCCATTGAATGGCGTTCTGTGCAATTTTTGAGCCACTGCAGGCTACAGCAGTTCCAGTCAATCACTAATGATTTCCGTCTGTTACCTGCAATTCATACTTATTTATAGTACAAAATATGTTGCATAATCTACCTATAAACTATAATCTAACAACAAATACATTTTAAAAATTAACAATGAGAAAATGATTATTGAAGTAAGTTATTTCTAAGAAGCAAAGTGA